CTGAAGCCTTCCTCTTTTTCCAATATAAAGCTTTCCCACTCCTCTGCCTTCCTGAGTCTCTGTTGAAACACACGTGTTGGCAGTTGACTCCCTTGCTTTCTTTAGGAAGCTCTGAGTAAATAGCCTTTGTTTGCCCTCATTTGGTCAGTCTTCATTTCCACAGGTATCTTCAGTCAAGTTTCCCTGAAGTGGACCTTGAAATGAAGACCTGAGTTTAGGTTTATTGGAGAATACTCTCAAGATCATCACATTTCAAGGGGATGGTGGGAACAGGACTGGAGAGAGGGAGAAATCGAACTGCTGTACGGTTACACCTTAACCGATCCTGTGGGGAGCTCTGAGTCTGGGATGGCCCTTCGGAAATGTACCCTGGCCTGGATCAGTCACTGGATGCAAGAAAGGAGAGGAACTTCAGGTGAAGCGGGTCTCTTTGACCAAAGGTAATTGCAAGGGAAGATCCTAGCTGTGAGCTCTCGGCAGCCCGCGCTCTGGGCAGCCGGGGAACAGTGCTTGGATCCCGTTTGGGGTGGGGCTGTGAGGGTGTGGGAAAGGTGGAGACTGGCATACAGTTGACAGCAGGTCATGACCGTAACTCAACCTTGAACCCAAGTTTAAAGCTTTTTCCACTACAGCATAGCTGTCTTCACTCAAAAAAACATGACAAGTGGAGATTCTGTGACCCCTCATTTTCTTTCCTCCCAGCCCCAAATCAAGACCATGTTGTAAAGTGATTCCAACATTTTTTGGTAAGTGATCTTGAGCATAGCAGTTGACTCAGTTGAATACAGCATTTTAAAGATCGGAAATAAAACCAACCAAAGCAGTGAACTGAATTATCACACGTAGACATTTATATCATCTTAATATTACGGTACTTTACAAAGTGTTTCCCTCTCTCAGTAGAGAACATTGTGACATCCTGCTTTCCAGCTTGAGATGCTGACAAATTGAAAATAAATTGATGTGAAATAGCACCATTTCCACTTTAAGGGTATTCATCCCCCAGGGAAAATGATTCCCTCTTAGTGAAAAGCCTAATAAAGTGTATCTTGGAAGTTAGTAAAATATTAATTTATTCTTCAAAATAATCTAGTTCCCCTACCTTACTTCATCACTAGTGTCATATGATTCTTGCAAGACTTTTAGCTTTATTTGAGCTACTTAAACTCAATGTTTCTATTTTTGGTTTTACAAATAAATCAGCTGATACTGTATCCAGCAATGATCATTTACCGAAAGGTTATAAAAAACATACGCCAGGTTCTGTCTACAAATTGGCCTGAACAGTCTTTTTATCTGTAAACAAGTCTGTGACTTTTTTTAATCTGTCAGCATATTCTCTCACTATCACAAGACCTTTTAAATACATTACGCATTGTTCCCAGAGCTTTTGGCTTTTTTCCTTTCCGTGTGTCCTGGAAATTCCCTCCCCCCATATCCCGACTCCCCCTGCCTGCCCCGCAAAGTTCCTAGCCTCTTGTTTAACCTTGTATGGGATCTCAGCCATACTGTAATTCCAGGTAACTTTTGCCCATAGCATAGCATGGTAGTTCTTAAACTTTGAGCCCCACGAAATGCTAGGGGAAATGATTAAAATAGAAAATATTAGAGATTCACCCTAGATCTAAAGATTCAGAATTTCTGGAGGTGATGCTAAGGTAAATGTATAATTAAAAGTCTCTTTGTGGAATCCTGGTAGATATCACAGCTTTAGAGTCACTCACAAGTGTATTTCATACATCTGGCTACCGCTGTAGCTTGCTGGCTGTAGACTATCAGGACAAAAGTGGCATTTGGAGTCTATTCTTTTCTAAGGTTGGTGAATCATAGCAGTTTATGGAAGTGGAAACAATAGGCTGACTTTTCACAGCAATAATCCATTTGTATGTTAAGACCTATCAGAATGGAAACATTATAACTGCAAAGAACAGGGGCTGATCTGAGAACATTTTCTGTAGAAGGATTGGAAGGGCCTGGTGATTCCTGGAAGGTTAAAATAAAAAGATAGTAAAGGACCTGATGGTTATTTCAAGGGTGTGAGAAGATGTGGGGACACTGGGAAAATGGCTATGATGAAAATTTTTGAACAAATATTGAATGTAACACTAAATGAGGTGATAGGGAGGCCACAAAGATAAGAGCACCTAATTTAATTTACTTCAACATGTATTTACTGAGTAATTACTGTGTGCACAGCATTGTCATAAGGTGTACCATGCATGGTTCCCAAATTTGGGATCTGTATTAGATTCAGCTGGAGAGATTTTTAAAAATAAAGTTCCGGGCCCCATATTAGTTCTGCTGAATCTAAATATCTGGGGGCAGGGTTGGAAATCTCTACTGTTTAAAGCTCTCCAAGTGATTCTGATGCATCCAGTTGATGGACCAGAATGACCATGAAATGAACAAGGTCGAGTGTTTGTTTTAAAGGAATGTACAAACTATACTATTGGTGGGAATGTAAACTGGTGCTGCCACTGTGGAAAACAGTGAGGAGGTTTCTCAAGAAACTAAAAGCAGAACTACCACATGACCCAGAAATTCCACTCCTGGGTATATACCCCCAAAAAACACTAATTCAAAGAGATACATGCACCCCAATGTTCACAGCAGCATTATTTACAATCGCCAAGATACGGAAGCAACCTAAGTGTCCATCAATAGATGAATGGATAAAGAAGATGTGGTATATATATATACAATGGAATACTACTCAGCCATAAAAAAAATGAAATTTTGCCATTTACAGCAACATGGATGGACTTGGAGGGCATTATGCTAAGTGAAATAAGTCAGACAGAGAAAGACAAATCAGTAATTGTATGATATCGCTTATGTGTAGAGTATTAAAAATACAACAAACTAGTGAATATAGCAAAAAGGAAGCAGACTCATATAGAGAACAAACTAGTGGTTACAAGTGTGTGGGGGAGGGCATTATGGGGGTGGGAAAGTGGGAGGCACAAACTACTGGGTGTAAGATAGGCTCAGGGATGTATTATACAACCCAGGGAATATAGCCAATATTTTGTAGTAACTGTAAATGGAAAGTAACCTTTAAAAATTGTATAAATTTTTTTTTTTTGGCCACGCCACGCAGGTTGTGGGATCTTAGTTCCTCGACCAGGGATCAAACCCCTGCCCCCTGCAGTGGAAGTGCGGAGCCCTAATCACTGGACTGCCAGGGAATTCCCCAATTTTTTTTTTAATTAAAGAAAAAAAGGAACATACAAACTGGTTTGTTGAGCAATTTGCTCAACCAAATTTCTTGATTCTGCCTTCTGTCCATGGCTCAAATTTTACTCATGCTGTTATTTTCTCTGAAATGCCTTTTCCCCAATCTCTTCCATGAAAATAGTATCTATCCTTCAAGACCTATTCAATGTGAGGAGAACTGAACTGCATTCCACACCTCCCTTTGTCAACATCCTTCCAACCCCACATCCATCACCCAAGCAAATATCATAACATCCACCCTTACAATATCTACCTCACCCATCAGCTCCTTTTTATCCCCATTCCCACCTCTTTAGCTCACCTGAACCACTGAATGGCCGTTTAACTGATCTCTCACAAACCATCTGCCCACCTACTCCAGTTCATTCTTCATGGTTCTACTAACCTTGCACAGTTCAATTATAACTATTTTTCATATTGCAAATAATGTTCACTATTTCCCCATTACCTACAAAGCTAGGGATAAAAATGCTCCAGTCTGGCTTTCAAAACTACTGTATCAATTAGACTTCCTTTTTAAATACGCTACAGAACCAACTCTGGCTACCTTAAGCAGAAAAAGACATGGGCTAGTTCACAAAATTGAAGTTCCCATCATTTTCCTTCTTTGTATGATGGTTCTCAAAATTCTTATTCTTAGAGAATGTCTGATTCAGCATATCCCCAACTCTTGCTAATAGGAAGACAGGGAACATTCCTTCTTCTTGTTAACAGGAAGACAGGAACAGAGAACAATAGGAAGACTGAAAAGCCACCTATAACTATGCCCACTGAGAAAAGAAAGTTCTTTCAAAGCAAAATCAGGATGCTGTTACCAAAAGGAGAAATGAACAGTAGGGAGCAAGACCCAAAAATGTCCACTACATTCAAAATATGGACCCAGGGCTTCCCTGGTGGCGCAGTGGTTGAGAGTCCGCCTGCCGATGCAGGGGACACGGGCTCGTGCCCCGGTCCGGGAAGATCCCACATGCCGCGGAGCGGCTGGGCCCGTGAGCCATGGCCGCTGAGCCTGCGCGTCCGGAGCCTGTGCTCCGCAACGGGAGAGGCCACAGCAGTGAGACTGCAAAAAAAAAAAAAAAAAAAAAAAAAAAATGGACCCAATTTGACTGAAGTAAAAATGGGGAGGAATTTTGTGCTTTCTTTTCTGAGACATCAGAGGTCAAAATGGGGGAAATAACCACCCATGAAAGCTAATGTCTGATAGTCTCAGTGTCCTTGGGGGTGGGGGAGAAGAGAGGCTAGTGGTTTGAAGGAAATGTTTTTAAAAATGCATGCAGGGACTTCCCTGGTGGCGCAGCGGTTGGGAGTCCGCCTGCCAGTGCAGGGGGTACGGGTTCGAGCCCTGGTCCGGGAGGATCCCACATGCTGCAGAGCGGCTAAGCCCGGGCGCTACAACTACTGAGCCTGCGCTCTGGGGCCCGCAAGCCACAGCTACTGAGCCCATGCACCACAACTACTGAAGCCTGCGCGCCTAGAGCCCGTGCTCCACAATAAGAGAAGCCACCACAATGAGAAGCCCGTCGACACAACTGGAGAAAGCCTGCGCGCGGCAGCGAAGACCCAACGCAGCTAAAAATAAATAAATAAAATAAATAATTTTTTTTTAAAAACGCATGCAAAGATTCAAGATGTCATTGTGAGTCATGAGGATAAAGATAAATTGTTTTCATTTTTTCTGTTATCAACCAATTTCCACATAACTACAATGTCCTTTGCAAAACACCCTATAGTGTTTTTTAAAAAATAAGTTTACCACTGTAATATAAGAACAGCCAGAATTTTATTAGGAAGAAAGTCAGTAGGGTAACAGTATCTTTAGGAGGGTAACAAGTCTTCCACTTCCAAATTCAAGAAAGGGGCAATAATCTCCCGCAGTTCCCACATTCTGCGGCACCCAAGCATTGTAGGGAGCACCTTTTCAAAAATAAACGTAGCATCAAAAAATAGTATGTAACATGAAAGTCCAGTGAAGGTGAGGACATAAACATGAAAATCCTCAGTGCACATTTCTTAGAAGGAAAGAAAAACATCTGTGTTAAGAACATTCTGAAGGATATAGAGAACAAATTAGTGGTTACCAGTGGGGAGAGGGAAGGGGGGAAGGGCAAGATAGGGATAGAGGTTAAGAGACACAAACTAATATGTATAAAATGAATAAGCAACAAGGATATATTGTATATTACAGGGAAATATAGCCATTATTTTGTAATAAATTTTAATGCAGTATAATCTATAAAAGTATTGAATCACTATATTGTACACCTGAAACTAATATAATATTATATATCAGCTATACATCAATCAATTGATAGATGAGTAAACAAACAAACAAATAAATAAAAGAATGCCTAGAGGGGTGGGATAGGGAGGTTGGGAGGGAGGGAGATGCAAGAGGGAAGAGATATGGGAACATATGTATATGTATAACTGATTCACTTTGTTATAAAGCAGAAACTAACACACCATTGTAAAGCAATTATACCCCAATAAAGATGTTAAAAAAAAAAAAAAAAGAACGTTCAGAAGAAAACCGCACTGATGTGACTCCTGGTTCCTCCACCCATGTAGCTCTATAAATTCAAGTAAGTAACTGAATTTCTCTTAAACTCTGTTGACATCTGCAAAAGAAGGAACTTGGAGTAGATGGACCGAAGTCCATCCTAGGGCTGGCACTGGAATTCTAAGATTCTAAAGCCATGAAACAATGAATCCCTGGGTTACTGTGAGGCTCTTTCCTTTGAAATACTCTTCTCACACTCTAGTAGTTATTGCCATCTCTACCTCACTTGGGAGGTATAGGATGCCTATTTGGGAGGAAATAAAGGCGCAGGCAGTTAGATTTTCCTCAGGGTACAAAATACCATGTGACAAGTGGAATTCAGCTCTCTCTATCAACAGTTTTATCCCAGCACCAGACATGCCCTTTTTGTATTTTATTTATTTGCTTTGAAGTCCTTGCATTATTATTTTCTAATTATAAATGTAATACATGATTGGGGTAGAAGATCTGGAAAATCCAGAAGAACACAAAGAACAAAAGAAATGTCACAGATAAGCCAGTTGCTTGCAGATAATTACCTTCTATAACAGGTTTCAGAAGAGCAAACCTAGAGCACAGTTAAAGCTAGCCATGGATCTATGTTGTGACCCAACTCAGTGGATTCCATGAACCTGAGCCAAGTTTCTTGGCATTATTGCCACTGGCTATCTCTTGGCAGTTACACAAATCATTGCTTCTACTTCACACATTTATTAAAGAGCCAATGTTCCTAAAATACTCTATTATGAAGAGACTGTGATGGCTGCCAAGGTGAAGCAGAGATGTTCTGTCCTCAGGGAGCACTAAATCTAGATTTGTTCTTTCTTATGAAAAGAAAAATGACTCACTACCAAAACATATCTAGTAAATAAATACTGTCTTCCTAAATTCCAACATTAATCATCTTCAGAAATGCTAAGCTGGAACATTCTCAAAGAAACACATTTTAACATTAATTTTTAAAAAAAAATTTGTATTTGGCTGTGCCAGGTCTTAGTTGCCGCATGCGGGATCTAGTTCCCTGACCAGGGATCAAACCCAGGCCCCCTGCATTGGGAGTACAGAGTCTTAGCCACTGGACCACCAGGGAAGTCCTAACATTAATTTTTAAAAGAGAAAAATCATTTTTTTCTAAATTACAGAAATGAAAAAACTATAGTCCCATCACATTAATATAATCAGCTAAGTTTTCTTTTTTCTTTCTTACCTTTCCTCCTTTGATTTATTCATTCTTTCTATTTTATTTTAATTTTTGGTTTTTTCTTTTATTTTGTTTTTCTTTGGTTTGTTTCTCTTTTGGTTTAGAATGTGTCCTTCTAGTTTGCCCCTTCTTTCAATGAACACTTCAGGTATGGATGGATTCAGATCTATTTCTTGATACTACTGAATCACTTGATTTTTTTCTTTTTTTTTTTTTGCGGTACGTGGGCCTCTCACTGTTGTGGCCTCTCCCGTCATGGAGCACAGGCTCCGGATGTGCAGGCCAAGCAGCCATGGCTCACGGTCCCAGCCGCTCCGCAGCATGTGGGATCTTCCCCGACTGGGGCACGAACCCGTGTCCCCTGCATCGGCAGGCGGACTCTCAACCACTGTGCCACCAGGGAAGCACTACAAAACATTCTTAAATGTTCCTTCTTGCACGCTCCAGGGCTTACTATTCAGGGATGTTCTCCTTTGAAAACTGCAAAGATGTGGATGCCTGGGGATCTTCCTGTTGAACGTGATCTCTTTCTTGCTCAGCTTGTTCACTCTGCAGGTCCCGGTCATGCCCAGCCTCCAGCTCCAACATATCCTGATAAAGATCATGAAGAAAGCAAAGCAGAACAAAAGGGTTATCACAAGAGGTGGTGGCCCCCCTTCTCTGGGGGCAAGCACATAGCCCCCTCTGAGGCTGGAGTCTTCTGATGCATCTGTGAGGTAGGCTGACATGCCCTCCTGCTCTGTGACAGAGGAAGGCTGGGGCAGGGACATGGAGAGTAGAGAGAACAGATCAGTTTCTTATTGAAATATCTGTGTACATCACTGACCAAGTCAATAGGAATAACATTCACATACCTCTACAAATTGCCTTCATGTACATCATTTCTTTTAATTCTCGTGATAGCCCTGAGGTGGATAAAGGTAGGTACTGAAATCCCCTGGGCCATTCCTATTTAGTGATTTGGTCAAGGTCATATGGTGTAGTGAGTTAAGTGAGGACCCCAAAATGATATGTCCATGTCCTAATACTAGGCCCTGACAATGTGACATTATTTGGAAAAAAAAAAGAAAAAGGGAGGGGTTTTTGCTGAGGTAATTAAGTTAATAAACTTGAGACGAGATTATCTTGGATTACCTGGGTGGGTCCTAAATCCAATGACAAGTGTCCTAATGAGAAACAAGAGGAAACAACATAGAGAAACTTGTGAAGACGGAGGCAGACTGGAGTTTATGCAGCTACAAACTAAGGAATGTCTGGAGCCAGCAAAACCTGGAAGAGGTAAGGAAAGATCCTCCCCAGGAGCCTTCAGAGGGAGCGTGGGCTTGCTGACCCCTTGATTTTGGAATTCTGTCCTCCAGAACTATGAGAGAATACATTTGTGTGTGTGTGTGGTTTTTTTTTTTTTTTTGCGGTACGCGGGTCTCTCACTGTTGTGGCCTCTCCCGTTGAGGAGCACAGGCTTCGGACGCACAGGCTCAGCGGCTATGGCTCACGGGCCCAGCCGCTCCGCGGCATGTGGGATCTTCCCGGACCGGGGCACGAACCGCGTCCCCTGCATCAGCAGGCAGACTCTCAACCACTGCGCCACCAGGGAAACCCTGTGTGTGTTTGGTTTTAAACCACCAAGGCTAATTTGCCATAGCTGCCACAGGAAACCAATCGACATGGCTGGTAAGTATGTGGACTAGAACTTGAACTAGGTTTTCTCATTCCAAAACCATGGAATTGTATTTAGGACTTGGGTTCAGGTTAAAGAATACCTAGTCCCTACCGTTGGCACTCTCACAACCCAGCGTCACCTCACCAATGATGTAGGTTTATCATCACATTTACAGATGAAGAAACCAAGGCTAGATTTTCCAAGTATTACGTGACTCCACTATCTCTTAGCTACCTCTTCATGAATAAAAAGCATCCATAATTTCAATTTCTTTCCACCGTATCTTTGACCAGTATATTCAAAAGCAGCAGAAACGCTGTGATGTAGAGAAAGACACCACACTGGAAATCAGAGGACCAGAGGTCTAAGTCCTGTCCTACTGCTGTGGATGTTGAACAAGTCACTTAACCACTGTAAAGCTCAGCTTCCTGGCCTGTAGTAAGAAAATTGGGCCAGATCATCTCTAGAGTTCTATGTCCAATAATTGATGGTGATATTTCTTATCTTTATCGGTCATTTCATGGTAATGGTTAATATACTGCAAAAGAGTCAAAAGGCAGGAAGTAGACACAAAAAGAGTTTTTAAAATCTGCAGGACCGAACACATAAAGAAATGTGTGTGTTTTTTAAATAACAGACTAAACGTGTACTTGCACGAAATACACAGTCTAAGGGCATTCTTTTCCATTTACATGCAGCTCTTTGAAGAGCTCACATGTCTCCATTTGGATGTTTCCTAGGCACCACAAACTCAGAAAGTAAAAAATGGAACTCATCATATTTCCCCTCTACCTTGTTCGGGTTCCCCACCCTTGCAAATGGTCTCCCTCTCCATCCAGATGCCTCTGCCAGAAACCTGAAAGAAGTTCTTGAATTGCCACGGGAGACATTCTTTTCCCTCTTCATTACCTACGTTATATCCACTTTGTGCATATCCACTAATAATACCTGTCATTTAAATCGGTGTACTTTTTTCCCATCCCCCCAGCATCACTGCTCATGGCATCCCAGACAGGGCCCTGCTTTGAGTCCTCCTCAGTTCTTGACTCCTGTTGATGTCCTGGCTTCCCGTCTGCATCCTGCTCTATCCCTACCTCAGTGTCCTGCCTGCCTGTCATGCCTTTTCCTGCACCCTTCCTCTCTCACAACACAGTTTCTCTTTGGCTTCATTATCTTTACATGTGCTATTCCTTCTTTCTGAAACGCTTTTCTTCCATCCAGCTCATCCTTCAAACCTCAGTTGTCACATCCCCAGTCTTCTCCCTGTACAGCCCTCCCTCCCGTGTACTTCATAGCTCATCTGCTCCTTCTAGGATGGATCTTACACAGCCACGTTCTTGTCTGAGTCCCTCCTAGCGTGTGAGCTCACTGAGGGGAAAGGATTTTATATATATGTATCCTAGCACCTAGGGGATCCTCAGTAAGTGCTTTTAGAATACATAGGCTTCAGAAACAGGCAAATACATTCTGCTTGTGAGAGATGCAAACAAAAGCAGGAAATAGGAAAGTCTGTTCACTGACCTGGCATCCAAAATCGACACTGTATGTAGCAGTGCCAGGGATTAGCAATGTGAAACCAGAGCAAAGTATTCATTTCTAAGTATTTTAGGGGGCTTTGATGGGTAGACATGGCAGCTTTGGCAGTCTGGTTAAAAAGCCTATTTTGTTAATTAACCCAACAATTTTTTCTTTACTCCTCTTAATTCTTTGTCCATTTTCTGGACCTGTCCTTTAAAGCTTTCTCTTATAAAAGACGAAGATAAGATTATACAAAGTAGAGACCTCCTGGTTTGTTTTCAGAGAATAAGAGAATAAGGTGTCTTCCTCAAGAAGTCATATATTTGTCCTTTTGTTAGCAGATAGCCAAATTTTTTAATAATTATTTGTTAATTATGTGATTGCCTATGATTTATTTGTATGTAATTGTAGAATTTTCCATACAAACAGACATAAAGAAATACAATCGTAAATTTTAAAAAATATTTTGTTAAACCGTTATGCCCTGATTTGAAGTTTGTAAGAAATAGTCTATAACAATGCCTTATACCCTGAGAGTGTGGACTATCTGATAAACTCTTCCAGAGTGAATAATTTTATTATCTAATTAGACTTATTCTGTCCTAGGCCAACAAGTGATGATATCACCATTCACTGACTAACAGGATTCAGCAGGGTTCACTGAACCACAAGTACAGGGAAGTTGTCCTGGAAATGTAGGTCTAATGGTAGCAGCCCTTACCTGGAGTCCAGAGACAAGGCCCCTGCAAAGAATCAGATGACACTATTTATAGAGTTACACCTTCAATTCATGTGTTCCCTAAGGTCATCCTTACGATCACCTCAATTTCCCTATTTTCTTTTCCCATCCTAAGACTACTCTTCTAATTCAGTTCCTATTATTCTTTTATTTTAATAACAAGTATCTGTCTGTCTGTCTCTTTCCACTTTTTGTCTTATTATTATCTATACTCCACACGTCTAACTCCATTCCTTCACACCTTCTATCCCCTTCTATTTCTTTTTTTTTTTTCTTTTCCCTTTTTTGCGGTACGCGGGCTTCTCACAGCTGCGGCCTCTCCCGTTGCGGAGCACAGGCTCCTGACGCGCAGGCTCAGCGGCCATGGCTCACGGGCCCAGCCGCTCCGCGGCATGTGGGATCCTCCCGGACCGGGGCATGAGCCCGTGTCCCGTACATCGGCAGGCGGACTCCCAACCACTGCGCCACCAGGGAAGCCCCCTTCTATTTCTCTTGTTTCTTTTTTCCTTACTGCAGAGTCCTTGAAGGTAAAGTCCAGTTTGGGATATTCTTTGAGGACCTTTCCTTCTATGGATTGTAGAGTTAGCCATCCTTGTATCCAAAATGTATTCAAAAGAGCAGTAGACAAAGAGATGAATCCTGAGCTTCCATAGGGGGCTGGATAAGCCTAGGAAGAGGAAATACTCCATCATTTCTGTATGTTTTTCTGACTGGTTGAAATCACCTTCCTCTATAGCCAATAGCCTGGGGAATCTATGGGGAGATCTGCTCATCAATAATAAAAGGGGTCTTGGCCATGCATTTGCTTTCGACTAAATGAAAGCGTAAACCCTCTCCAGGACAATCTCAGGCATTTGGTCCAAATTTCTCCATTCCATGTCAGCTGGGTGACTGAATTTCAGACTGAGAGAGGTTCAGACTGAATTAAGAGTAAATGGGTGCTCACTTCAGCAGCATGTATACTAAAATTGGAACAATATAAGGGTTAGCATGGCCCCTGCACAAGGGTGACATTCAAATTCGTGAAATGTTCCATATTTTTTGTGAAAGTAAAACCATCCCATTTTAAACGGCATCAAGAAGAATAAAACACCTAGGAATAAACTTAGCTAAGAAGAATAAAACACCTAGGAATAAACTTAGCTAAAAAAATTAATGAAAGAAATTGAAGATGATATAAGGAAATAGAAAGATATTCCATGTTCTTGGATTGGAAGAATTAATATTTTTAAAACGGTCATACTACTCAAAGCAATCTACAGATTTAATGCAATCTCTATTATTTAAAATACCCAGGACATTTTCCACATAACGAAAACAAATAATCCTAAAATTTATATGGAACCACAAAAGAACCTGAATTGCCAAAGCAATCCTGAGAAAAAAAGAACAAAGCTGGAGGTATCACCCTCCCAGATTTCAGACTGTACTACAAAGCTACAGTAATCAAAACAGCATGGTACTGGCACAAAAACAGACACACAACTCAATGGAACAGAATAGAGAACCCAGAAATAAACCCACACATCTATGGTCAATTAATCTATGACAAAGGAGGCAGGAATATACAATGGAGAAAAAACAGTCTCTTCAGTAAGTGGTGCTGGGAAAATTGGACAGCTACACGTAAAGCAATGATATTAGAACATTCCCTCACACCATATACAAAAATAAATTCAAAATAGTTTAAAGACCTAAATGTAGGAATGGAAACCATAAAAGAGAACATAGGCAGAACACTCTTTGACATAAATTGTAGCAATATATTTTTTTGGATATGTCTCCTAAGGCAGAAGAAATAAAAGCAAAAATAAACAAATGGGACCTAATTAAACTTAAAAGTTTTTGCACAGGAAAGGAAATCATCAACAAAACGAAAGAACAACCTACGGAATGGAAGAAAATATTTGCAAATGATATGATCGATAAAGGATTAATATCCAAAATATATAAGCAACTCAATATCAAAACAAACAAACAACCCAATCCAAAAATGGGCATAAGACCTGAATAGACATTTTCCAAAGAAGACATACAGATGGCCAATAGGAACATGAAAAGATACACAACATTGCTAAATTATTAGAGAAATGCAAATCAAAACAACAATGAGATATCACCTCACAACTGTCAGAATGGCTATTATCAAAAAGTCTACAAATAACAAATGTTGGTGAGGATATGGAGAAAAGGGAACCCTTGTACATAGTTGGTAAGAATGTAAATTAGTGCAGCCACTATGAAAAACAGCATGGAGGTTCCTCAAAAAACTAAAAATAGAACTATCATACAATCCAGCAATTCCACTCCTGGGTATATATCCAGAAAAAATGAAAACACTAATTCAAAAAGATACATGCATCTCAATATTCATAGCAGCACTATTTATAATAGCTAAGATATGGAAGCAACCTAAGTGTCCATGAGCATGAATGGATAAAGAAGATGTTGTATATATATATATATATATATATATATATATATATATATATATACACACAATGGAGTACTACTCAGCTGTAAAAAGAATGAAACTCTGCCATCTAAAGCAACATGAATGGATCTACAGAATATTATGTTTAGTGAAATAAGCCAGAGAGAGAAAGGCAAATACTGTATGATATCACATGTGGAATTTAATAAACAATACAAACAAATGTATATAGCAAAACAAAAAGGGACTCACAGATGTAGAAAACAAACTAGAGATTAACTGAAAGGGGGAGGTACAAATTAGGGGTAAGGGATCAAGAGATACAAACTACTATGTATAAAATAGATAAGCAACAAGGATATATTGTATAGCACAGGGAATTATAGCCAATATCTTATAATAACTTTTAATGCAGTATAATCTGTAAAAATACTAAATCACTATACTGTACATCTGAAATTAATATAATATTCTAACTCAGCCATACTTCATTTAAAAATGAGTAAATGGATCTCTCTAATGCATCTATTGGAAGACAATCTGCAATCAGGGGGCAATTCTACATACAGTAATTTGCTCTGAGGTAAAAAATGTCACAGTTATTTCACAAATCCCAAGGACAAAAATAAGGTAATGCACAATTCTTTGTATGGGAATACTAGTAAGTCCCTTGTGTAATAACAGCAGGCTTCAGAGGAGAGAATGCCTCCATCTTGATTTTAAGCCCTGAACATCTCACACCTATTATGAGGAAACCTTGTGATAATATCCTTGCTGCTTTGAGATATGAAATATGAAGTTCCTCTCTTCACCCACTGTGACATTTAAGTCTGTCCCTTACCCATTTTTTAGTCTCCAAATCATGAAGGAAGTCAGTTTCAGAGTTTTCAGAGAAAATGTCCTCATCATCTGATCTGTCCAAGATGTGGTCCATTTTGGTAAATTCCCTTAGCAAACTGTAAGGCACACAACTGAAAAAGATACTGTTATTATGTCTTCGGTCTATAGCTTAGGCCTGCCCTAAACTTCTCTAGAGGGAGAACACTGGATCTTTCCGGCCCCAAAGAGCACCTGGTACTCTTGTACTGATTTCATTCTGTGTGAATAATGTCTAGTGTAGTGCATTACACGAGATAGGACTAGAGAGGCTGGATAAATATTTGTTGACTGAATCAATAAATGATTCAAAGTGAGATTCTGAATTCTGAAGCCATTGCAGCTCTTTGTGTGTATATGCAAATGCGTGTGTAAAATAAACAAATAATAAATAAATATGCTTCTTTAAAAAGTAGAGTTAAAAAAGTGTCATATGCTTCAAAGGAAAGGAGTAAGTCTGTGCTACCATCATGATTTCTAGACCCAAGACGTCCTCCTCCCAACATTTACTAGTTTCTTCTTTATTCTTCCACAGAGATTCTATGCATAAATAAGCAGCTATGTTTATATAAATATATACATGCCTTTTAAAATACAAATGAGAGGATATTATCTTGGAGTCCATTTCATATTAATACCTATAGAGCTGCCTCTTTTTAAAAATTGTTATATGGTATTCTATCATGAGGCTACATCATAATTTGCTAATCAGTTCTTTATTAATGTTTATGTACACTGTTTCTAATCAAATGCTACTGCAAACAATGCTGCAGTGAATATCCCTACATATCTGTGTGCATATGTACAAGAGTCTCCATTGGATAACACTAAAAATAGAATTGCTGGGTCAATAGATACGTATATTTTAAATTTTTGATAGATTTTACCAAATTATGCTTTGAAGAGGTTAAATCCATTTACACTTTCAGCAAAAATGATGAGACCGCCTGTTTTCCAACTCCTTTTCTAAAACCATGTGTTAGAAAAGGTTTTGATCTTCGCCAATCTCGTATGTTTAAACTGGTATCTCACTATAGTTTTAATCTCTTTTTATGAGTAAGGTTGAGCATCTTTGCCCGTACGTATAAAACTCATTTGTACTTCCTTTGCTATGATAATCCCTTGCCCATTCCCTATTGGACTATTGTTATTTTGCTGGGCTGCATATATGTGTATAGCTGTGCACACACACACTCACACACTCAAGTATACTTTTAAATGAATTGCAATATACTTGTGATGGAGGCCTAAGGCAGTGGTTTCCTATCTGTGGGTCTTGAACCCTGAGTTGGGGGACATTCTATACCTACCCTGATAGACAGTGGTCCTGGAAAGTATATAGATTTCTATAGATTCAATAAATACTGCTGAATGTTTCCAAATGTATATGCTACTGTTATTAATAAATTATAAATGGATTTAAAAACATCCTTGATATCATAGTAGCTTTTTTGACATATGAGGGGTTCTGGAAAATCTTTTCCTTTAGAAAAGTTCTTCCAATTTAAAAAGGTTGTTAACCATTGGTTTGTATTAGTATACATTTTTATCATGTATTAACAAATGCATAAATACTTAACAAATATTTATATGAATGTGTGTTTCCTCTACTCTAGAAACCATGTTAAATGGTTTATATCTTTAGCAGGTGAAGATGATGAAGGAACAAAACAATCAACGTTTTTTCACAAATTGAGACGAGCATCTTGACCATTCCTATTCAACTGTTATCTGCCTAATTTATGACCATAGGTCCCTTGACTATCCCACAGGACCTACCACACTAGATATTCGTGAGATCAAAATTAGAAGCATTATAGAGAAGAATGTCAACCCCAACCCTGAACCTGGAAATCTCGTCATGCGGTCCTACCAGGCTGAGGAAGTCTCCAGACAGGACCCCAGAAACTGCCCCTGGGAGCTCAGCCCTGACTTACTTCTGCATTGCACCTTCAGCCACATCGATGTTTTGGAGAAAGCCATTGTTTTCCTCTGTCAATTCTTGCTCCTTCCCAGCTAGCTTCATCTGCAGAAGCATCTTGACACTTAGCTTCGTGAGAGCCATTTCTTCAGCACTGCAGGGGCAATGGTATATTTCTTTCTATTTGTAAATTGATGTTTGTTTTACTCTTTTCCTATCGTTGACAATTATTTCTAATTTCTCACTGCTGTAAACAATATAGTAATGAATATATTTGTTTAGGAATTTTCAGTGCATTTCAGTGCATTCAGTGTATTACTTACTTAGAATACTTCCCTAGAAGTGGAACTCCTAGTAATATGATATACTGATTTTTAAGGATTTAGAAAAATATTCCCAAATTACTTTCCTAAAGGTTCAACCAATATATATTACTGGCAGCTGTGTGTGAGAAGAGGCACCTTCATTTCAGTCTGATAGGCAAGTGTTAGCTGCAGAGCAGAGAATTGAATTGTTAAGAGTATTTAAGTACTGTAGTGAGAAAAATAATAGTAAAAGGAAATAGGAAAGAAGGTAGAAAAGGGTGAGACAGGTTCTAGGAAGCTCATATGAAAAGCCATAATAAAGGGTCCATGCGAAATATAACTTGTAGTAACTAGCAGAGATCAGAGGTGGTACCCAGCCTTAAACAGAAAGAAACCTTTTCCTTTGTGCACTCAACTAACTATAATAAATTGTCACTGGAGGGTGGTCTGGTCCCCAGGACCCTGTGGGACAGAATCCCTGAGGGACAGAGGGGACGGTAGACTGACAGGAATGGAAGTGATTAGCAGGGATGGTCCTAGAAGAGTGATTATGGCTGCGATTAGAAACAGAGGGAAGGAGAGGCACTGGGAACCACAGAGATACTGGAATCTTCTGAGCAACCAAGGGCCCGGCCTATCACTCTGCGGCAAAATTGAGCTTTATCTTTGACCTGTGTGGGGATCCACAGTGGATGTTGTTCAAAGGGGACCCCTGTGAAGTTGAAGCAGCAGAAAAAGGCCAGAACCTTGAGCGCAACAAAAAAGAATAAACCTTTGATCTCTTTCAGGAAGGACACTGTGACCTGCCCGATCTCATCACAGCTCCCATCCAGACAGTCCGTCTGTATCCTGAAGCATTACTAACACAATTCCAAGCTCTGAAAGACAATGACCACTGAGATCTACCTAGTCTCTTTCCTGTCCGAAAATTAGAATCCTGTACAAATAATAAGGTTTCCTTATTTTGGTAACTTTTTGACATCCTAATGGCTTCCATTGGGTGATTTAAAAGGAAAATCTATTCTTCTCAATTCAGGTAGCTACACAAATTCTGCCTCCATACATTTCCTCACATTTCAAATAACAGAATCCTAATGATGGCTTATGTTTGTGCGGCTCCTAATAAATTACACAGTGTTTCTCACGTATGTCCTTATTCAGTTCCCACGACAACATGGTGGGGAAGGTATTAGCCCCATTTTCTGTGCACGTTGACCAAGGCTCTGGGAGTTCGCATGATGTACTTAGCAAAGCCAGGACCCAGAACTCCCATATCCTCACAGCTACTCATAAGGGATTTCTTCCCCATCCTAAAGATGATCTAGATGAAGGCTCTGCAATAAAACTTTCTGTGATGATGGACATGTTTTCTACACTGTTCATTTCAGTAGCACAAGCCACCTGTGTCTACTGAGCACTTGAGATGTAACTAATGCAACCGGGGAATTGAATTTTTAATTTAATTGAAATACATTTAAATTTAAATAGCCACCTGTGGCAAATGGCTACCATATTGGACAACTCAGAATTTTCTAGACCAGGGATCGGCAAACTATAGTCCACAGGCCAAGTTCATCCTGCCATCTGTTTCCGTAAACAACATTTTATTGGAACACAGCCATACCCATTCCTTCATGTATTGTCTGTTACTGCTTTGGTGCTGCAATGACAGAATGGAATGGTTGCAAGACAGACCTAAATTTGGCATGCAGAGCTTAAGATATTTACTATCTTGCCCTTTACAGAAAAAAAAATAAAAGTTGCCAACCCCTGTTCTAGACCATCACTTTTTTCTATGAAGCTTTTTCTATGGGTGTTTGCTACAATGAATCAACTGAATACATTGAATAAGAGCTTGGATTTTGAAGAGTCAGGCTGAGTTCGTATCACAGCATCAACACGCAGCAGCTGGGCCCAATCTTAAGGTTCTAGGTCTTACATTCCTCATCTGTAGAATGGGGTTTAACACAGTGCAAAAGCTGGGCAATGGTATCTATCTATTTATAACAGTAGGAATGGGAGCTATTGTAAGGTTTCTTTGGCTTCAAATATTACAAATAATAATAATATGCTTACACACGTGCAGCACCTTCAGTTTAAGAGGCACTTTCACTAAGTTGTTTCTTTGATCCTCACAGCTACCCTGTATAGTCAGTCAACCAAGGCAGATCCTATTACCTCGATTTTTTTAGATGCAGAAACTGACACTCAGAGATGATCCATGATCTGCCCAAAGTTTTATTGCTAGAAAATGGTAGAAACAGGATTTCAACCTGCCAACCTCTGGCTACAAGTTTTGCAGTCATCCTACCATTAAACATAAATCTGATACCCAATATGTTTTAATGGATTGGTTAGCAGCCTTCTTACCTCAAAACAAGCCATCTTTTGAAGCTAACTTTTGACTAGTTATGTAGTGTGGATCTTTGCTATTCAAAGCACGGTCTGTAGATCATCAGTATAAACTGGGAGCTTTTGCTAAACACACAGAATCTCAGGTTCCACCCTAGACTCACTGCATCAGCCTCTGCATTTTCGCAAGATCCCAGGTGATTCCTAGTCATATTAAAGTTTGGAAGTGCCTGCACTCTAGGCCTCGTCAGCTAGAATCTGTCTTCTTCTCCTTCCTACATCCCATCTCTTCATTCCTATATGTTTACACTATGGGCCTCTAGGACTGTTAGGTACAACTGAATGGATCCCTCCTCCTTCCACCCGCACCTCATCAAAACCTTTAAAATTACAAATTTGGAGAAGCGTTAGTCAAAAGGAACAGATCAACTGTTTTAAAAGACAACCGATGAAATCTCTAACTTACATTTTGTGAGCATTTCCTCTAGGCCAGACCACCCAGATAACCTTCTTCAGTACCTGTTAGCTGGACAATTTGAGATATCAGAAATTTTAAAGCATGGTTCCAAGAATCAGGGATTTGGTGTCCCCCTGGCCCTGGCAAGGTTATAATGTGCAGGTATGGCTGTGAAATTGTATATACCTGGTGATATCCTTGCTCTTCCCAATTTGGTGATCACAAATACCTTTAAGTTCAGTGCGGTAGACTAGAAACAGTCAAGTTTCCCTGGAAAATTCTGGTGATGCCTCCTTTCCCCAGCGCCAAAGGCAGAGAGGAGGCCATTGACGAGGGTGCACACTTCGGCAGGTGAGTTTGCAGTTGGACTCGCCCTCTCTGACCTTCTACTTGGAATGTGGCACACGTGACCCTTCAACCCCCCCTCTCACAAGGTTCCAGGTACGCAGTGCTCTCTCGCTTTTCTTTTACCTGCATCTCCAGCCTGTCTCCCATCTTCCTTGCTTCTCTTGCTAACTTTCTGGAAACAGAATCCTTCCCCCGCCCCAACCCTCTGTCCATCATCTACTGGCCTCTGACAGGAGGCTCTGGGAGGCTCTTCCCACCTCGGCTTCTCCCATGCCTGCCCTTTCATCTCCTTGCCTGAACAAAGCATCTGAGACCTTCTACGAGGGAGGACAGGACTTCACCTACTCCTTCCCCCCTCAGCAGGAATGAGGAAGCAGCTGATCATGTTGCAAACCAGGGCTGCTCCTACTTTACGGCTCGGTCACCTACCCGCCTTTGCCTACCACATTCACAGCCCACTCTCACTTCTTCCAGGACTTCAGTGCTAAGTTCACATTTCCCTCTGTACCTCATCTTCTCCCCTCATTCTCCAGGAACTCAGCACCTAGGCGAGGGGCCTAACATTCTGACTTTACAGATTCTCAGTCCCTCAACTCTTAAGGCTTTCTCCTTCACCTACCCAAATTATTCAGCAGCACGGAGATGAAATACAGAACGTTTTTTCATACATATAAACATTAGAGTTAGATCAGTGTTGGAAACCTGGTTTTGCCATTTATTAGTTATTTGATTTGCAGCAAAATTTAATTTTTTGTCTGAAAAATGGGTTTGATAATACCTGCCTAATTGGTGTGTCGAGAAGATGAAGGTAATAGTGTAAAGAAGGAGTTTAGGGTCGAGCTGGACGATTGCTAGTGATCCCGCCAGAATGTGGGCTCCATGAAGACAGGAGTGTTTGTGTGTTGTGTTGACTGCTGTACCCACAGCACTAGAAGAGTGGCTGGCACATAATAGGTGCTCAGCAAAATTTTGTCAAAGGAATGGGACGAATGCGCATAAGGTGGCCATGATTTTTATGGCAACAAATTAGGTCTTGTCATCACCCTGAGCATTTCCTCAGATAGACGCTCAATCTGAGATGTCTCACCTCCCTCCTGGGCTTCCCTATGCTCTCTTCCTAGCGGGGAACCCAGACTCCCTCGCTTTGCCCCCCCCACCCCCCACCCCCAGTGCCTGCCGGGCTAAGCTTCAGCCTTGGGTACCTGTCCCATATCAGGACTAGGCTCCTAGCTTTTGTTGTCCCAGGTGACCTCATGTTTCTTTAGGAAAAATCACAAGATTCTTACGAGAGGTTCCACCACAATTTAATAACGACAGCAACAATAATATCTAACACTTATGAATGTTTCCTGATGTACCAGGCACTCTTCTAAGTGTTAACATATATGACCTAATTTAATTCTTACCACCTTCCAAACAGGGGGGGTTCTGGGATTCAAACCCAAACCTGCTCAATCTGGCTCCAGGGACCATGTCCTTAAGCGCCCCTGTACACGACTATTTTTCTCAGTATTACTCAGCAAAACTGTACGCATCTCTTGTTGCTTCCCAAACACGTGGGCCCCAGCAGCTGTTTCCTGTCTCGCTCCGTTCCTTTCCCACTGCCAGGCTCGCTCCCAAACGCTGCCAGCTCCCTCCGCCAGCAGTGACCCAGCCTCTGCATTACTGCACTGATGGAGGCC